CACATTTTGAGTGTCTTCCAACCTGAGGGGCTCATTTTCCAGCACTATATCTGACAGTGTTACTCTGTTATTCATAAGGTTTTCAGTGAGTAAATATTTGGATGTGTTTATCACTCTTTCTTCCTAGTCTTTCTTAGTCTGGAAGCTCATCTGACACCTGTCCACCATGGGTGACCCTGCTGGTATTTAAAATACCGGTGGCATAGCATTCAGAATCACAGCAACTCACAATCATAATCAAAATAATACTACTATTCTAAGTACTTCACTATTAGTGAGAATTAAATGAGTTAACATATGAACCCAGGTCCTTATTAAATTTCAGAAAATTCCTCATTTACTGGAGGCAATGTCTTGTTTTCAAGTATATGGATTTTTAAAAAATTATTTACTACCATTTCTAAATATTTATGCCATTCAGTGTATTATCATGATCTAATATTTAACTTAAAGCAAATTTACACCCTTTTTTAAGACATAAGTTAATTCTGTTAGAACAATGTTTAAACAAAGAAAGAATCAATTTTCCCAAATTAGGCTACCAAATAGAACAAATGTCAAGATATACGAAAAATGAAAGAGAAATATTACTTAAAATATTATTTAAAATATAGGACATGTTTATCTTTCCTGGTATAAAGTTGTACATATCTTTTAAGTAAATGAGTCATTCATAATGTACCTCAGAATTTCCAAGATACCAAAATCTTGGAGATATTTATGATTAAGCCCTTCAAGCTACTTCAATATGGAAACTGGTAATAATATAGTGACCCTAGCGTTTCAGGCTCACCAGCCACTCCTCAGAAACCCTATACAGTGTCGCTATGGGTCGGGATCGACTCGACGGCACTTAACAACAGCAACAACCAAGCTTGGAGTCCTGATGTGGCACTGTAGGATAAGCATTTGACCATATTATTGGTTTGAACCACAAGGTCGGTGGTTCAAACTCCTCAGAAACCATACACAGGGTCCCTATGAGTTGGAACTGACTTAACAACAATAACAATAACCAATAGCTTACCTTATCCTCAAAGAATGTCTGAAAGCATTGAGAATATTTAATTTTTTATTTAAACGAAATGTATTACTGTTACAACTATTTTATATTTATGTTGACAGGTTTATTCATTCTTCAATCGTGCTGGGGTTGTGGGAGTGTTGCCAGTATATTTTGAAAGGTGTGTCTATGCATTTTGGTGCACATGTGTGCCTGTGGATACAAATTCACAATCTAGGTAGCAATACAAACTTTTTCTAGGTTGTAGGGATTTTTAAGCCTTAAAATAGTTTATATAACTAAATTTTTGATGCATTAATATGTGATCCACTAACAATACATAATCTCCAACACTTACAAATTAACGGAAAGATCTAGATCATAGACTGCTCACAAGGAGGGGGTAAACCAAGTGTTGGAGCCATAATTGCATTGCAGCATGTAATACAAAGATCAAAATAATTTAGGTTAGGAATTTGTGCATCATAATATCCATATGTACATAACCATATGCATAAACTAATGTGTACAAACAATGCCATATGCACAAATGAAATGTGATAAACAACTCAAAATCTTTATAGCATTTAGGAGTGAATGTGAGAACAAGTGAAGTAAGACTTGGTTGAGTTATATTTATCTGTGACAAAACACAAAACTCATTGCCCTCAAGTTGAATTGTAACTCATAACGACACTGTAGGAGAGAGTAGCATTGGCCCATAGTGTTTCCAAGGCTGTAAATCTTGATGGAAGCAGACTGCCACATTTTCCTCCTGAGGAGGGGCTGGTAGGTTGAAACTGCCAGGCTTTGTTTAGCAGCCAAGCTCATAACCACTGAACCAGGGCTCGTTTAGTTTTATATTTATAAACCAAAAAAACTAAAAACAAACTGAACCTACTGCAGTCGAGTCAATTTCCAATTCATACTCAATTTCAACTAATAAAACACAGTGGAAGTGCTTGATAGGATTTCTGAGGTTGTAAACTGTATAGAAGAGACTGCCTCATCTGGCTCCCAAAGAGAAGCTCGTGGGTTCTTACCACTGACCTTTTGGTTAGCAGACCGTTACTTAGCTTACTGTACCACCTAGGCTCCTAATTATAGCTATACCTACCCAAAGTTCCATAAAATTTATAGGTGTTATGTTAGACCACCAATTCTGTTGGTTAAAAAAAAAAATCAGAATATTGTACAATTTTCAATTATTTTCATTCCAAAATTTATATTTTAAAATGTTTACTTACACAAAGCTAATTATAGGTTTCTTTTCTTCAAATGTAACTTTTGAGGACAGCTGCCTAAATTTATCATTAATTATAATTATTGCCTAACCATGAAAATGAAAAAAAGACTTGCTCTCCCACAAAAAATATGTAAATTGAAATATAATGTTCTTTGCCTAACTGCTGCCTGTATAAGATAGAAATAGCATGATTTAGAAGACTTAGATCAACTGGGATTTTGAAAGATTTATTAAGTCAGGAAATATTTTAGGAATCTAGCCAGTGAAGCTTGCAAAGTCAGAGTTTATTCAAGAAGATTTTATAGAAATCATGAATGAAAATGCAATTTTTGAATTTGGAGGATGAAGACAGATTCTATGTGCTTTTTTCTTTTATACAAAATTCTTAAGGCAAATGGGGTGGTAAGTGACAAAATTTGATTTGTTGTTATTGTTAGGTACCAAGGCAGTTCCCATTCATAGAGACCTCATTATGCACAACAGAAGGAAACACTGCCAGTACTTGTGCAATCCACACAATTGTTGCTATATGTTTGAGTTCATTGCTGCTGCCAATGTGTCAATCCATCTCACTGCGAGTTTTCCTCTTTTTCGTTGATCTGTCCCTGAAGAAGCATGATGTCCTTCTTCAGGAAGAGATGCCTCCTAGCAACATGCCCAAAGTAAGAGAGAGAAAGTCTCACCATACTCCATTCTAAGGAGCATTCTGGCTTTACTTCTTCCAAAACAGATTTGTTTGTTCTTCTGGTCATCCATGGTACTTTTAATATTCCTCTCCAACACCATCCTTCAAATGTGTCAACTCTTCTATAGTCTTCCTTATTTATTGTCCTAGTTTCACTTGCATGTGAGGGAATTAAAAATACCATTACTTGGGTCAGAGGCATCTTAGTCCTCAAAATGACAACTGTGCTCTTTAACATTTTAAAAAGACCTTTTCCAGATTTGCCTAATGCGATATGTCATTTGATTTCTTGACAGCTACTTCCAGGAGCATTGATTGCATTGTTGTTAAGTATTATTAAGTTGTTAAGTGTCGGTGAGTTGATTTTGACTGATAGCAACCCTGTACAGGGTTTCTGAGGAGCAGTTGGTTGATTTGAACTGCCAGTCTTGTGTTCTGCAGTCCAATTCTTATCCTCCTACACCATATCAATGAGTATTGATTGTGGATACAAGCACAATGAAGTCTTGGACAACTTCACTCTTTTCTCAGCTTATCATGATGTTATTTATAAGTCCAAACTGAGGGATTTTTGTTTACTTTACACTGAGGTGCAATACATGATGAAGGTTGTAGTCTGTGATCTTTTTCAAGTGACTATATTTAATTCTTTTGCTTCCAGCAAGCAATATTGTATTATCTGAATATTATTCACCAGGATCTGTATGTTCCATTTCATTTTAGACAAACTCAGTTGGTTTTTTTATATTCATACTTCATACATTCCACATTCTGATTATTCAAGGATGTTCACAGCTGTTTCCTCTTTTGAGATGTGCCACATCAGCGAATAAACGTCCCAAAAGTTTAATTCCATCCATGTCTTTAAAGTTAACTCTACTTTCAGGGGGCAGCTCTTTCCCAGCTATTTTGAGTGCCTTCGACGCTGAGGGGCTCATCTTTGGTCATTATACCTGATAACGTCCCACTGATATTCCTAAGATTTTCATTGGCTAACCATTCAAAGAAGTCTTGGTGTGGCACTGTAGAACAGGCACTGGACCACAAGGTCAGTTTGAACTACAATGTTGGTCGGCAGTTCAAACCCACCAACTCCTCAGAAACCCTACACTGGTCCACTATGAATTGTAATCTGCCCTTAGTCTGCATTCATTGTTAATTTGTAAGTGTTGGAAGCTGTGTCTACAATGTTTATTTCTATTGTTAGCGGATCACATTTTAATGGCGTATAAATGTAGTGATATAGACTACTTTTAGGTTTAAAACACCCTACACACTCACACACGAATCACCACTGTAAGATAAACTGGTAGACTACTGGTGGCCTCATAAAGATTCCGCCTAAAATTCAACTGGGATTTTTAACATCTGAAAATGTTTGCTTATTAAAAAAAGCTAATTATAGGTTTCTTTTCTTCAAAATAAACTTCTGGGGACCTATATCTGAATTTATCATTAATTATTAATTAGCACTTACCAATGAAAAACATACTTGCCCTCCCACAAAATAAATAAATTGAAACATAATGTCCTTTGCCTAATCTGTCTGTACATGATAGAAATAGCAGGATTTAAAAGACTTAGATCAACTGGGGTTTTGAAAGAAGAATTAAATCAGGAAACTTTTGAGGAATCTAGCCAGTAAAGTTTACAAAGTCAAAGCTTATTCAAGAAGATTTTATAGAGGAAATAAAGACTACAAGAGCAAGTCAAAAACTATCCACACTCTGGTTGTAGACTTTATTTTATTTTAATTAACTTTTAGAAAAGACAAATACATCATTTTCGACATAATATCCTTGCTTTTCAATACACTTTGTCCATTTGTCAACAAGCTTTCATTTTCCTTTATTTAAAAATGAGCTGTGAACCATAAATACACCACTCTTTTTACTTCTTCATCAGAGGTGAATCTTCATCCTCAAAGGGCTGCTTTCAGGAGACCAAACAAGATCAAGACTATAGGGTGGATGTTTCAACACCTCAAAACCAAGTGTTTGCAGTGGCAACAGTGTGGGCAGAGGTATGTGGGTGTGCTTTGTCATGCAAGATCACAATGCCTTTGGATAATCCAATGTTTAGGCTTCAGCTCATCAGTAAGCATTTCACTGTAATGAGCACCTTTGATTGTTAAATCTTTTTCCTGATAGTGCTCCAATACTGGCCCTTGAGAATCCCAGAAAACTATAAGCATCAATTTTTCAACTGATGGTTGATTTTTGAACTTTTTCTTGGTTGGTAATTGGGGATGTTTCATTTCATGCAAACTTTAATCTCAGGCTTCCAATAACAATTTTTCTTAGCAAACTTTTACTTTCCTTTGAGTATCAATCCAAATTTTGTTTGCAGATGTCCAAGTGCTTCTGTTTATGCTCTTCTGTGAGTGATTTCAGTACCCATCTCACAGAAACTTTTCCCAAGTCTGTCGCAGATTATTACATAGGCAGAGCCTTGGCTAATTTACAAATTATTTGCCACATAATCACTTGTCTGTTTGACAGAATCATTTCACGTGCATGCTCAATGTTATCATCAGTTGTGAACATGGATGTGCATTTTAATATAACTGGAGTGTGGTTAACTTTTGGCTTACCCTCATACTTACAAATGAGTTTGGGAAATCATGAATAAAAATTCAAATTTATCTGGAGAATGAAAATGAATTCTATGTAATTTTCTAAAATAAAATACTTAAGACAAATGGGGGTAATGACAAAATTTTATAACATCCCACATTCCTCACCCAATTGTCTTGAAAATTATCAAAGAAATACAATTTATGGAAAATTAAAGTCCTCCACTAATCCCCATCCAATTCATGTCATGTGCAACATGAGACACCATTAACCACCTTTTTTAAACTCTTACCTTCCCTGATTTTTGTGACATTTTTCACTGTGTGTTCTACCTCCCTAATAGCTATTTCCCAATTCCTTTTTTTATGCTACTACTTAAATGTCAGCAAATTCCAAAGTTGAGACCTTCTAATCCTTTCTTGTTCTACGCAGGCTCTAACTGGTAATCTTAGACACTATACAATTTGCACCATCACCTCTAGACAGATGGTTCATAGTTACACACTCCAGCTCTGTTCACTCTTCTGAACTCCAGACCTAATTTCTCAACTGCCTGCTGTAAATATTTATTTTGATTCTGTTTGAGAAGAGACTCCATCTTCACACATGTCGATATTATAAAGACTCTTTTACAAAAGTAAAAACAAGACTAGACAGATCATCCAAATGAGGGAAATCATAGATGACATCATGAATTTTCAAATTTCAGTCTCTGCAAGGTGATCTTTTTTAGGGCACGGAATAAAGGAATCCCCTTCTACAACCATGACTTATTCCAGGCCTACAGAAACAGGGAGGTGACTGTTGCAGATAGGAAAGCTTACAGATGGTCTCTGAGGTTCTCAGAATATGACTTCACAACCGGGGGATCGTTTAGGTAGGCATTATGTGTTGTGCCCAAGAAAGTTCCTGTGAGGGCCAACTTGGGGAAGTTGCCCAAAACCCAATTTCAAATGCTTCTAACTCTGGCAGTTCAGCTATTAGAGGAGCATTAGGCACTAGAGAAAAATTATCATCTGAACACTTAAATCCAGGCACAAGATGGAACTAAGCTCTGCCTAGCTGGAGTTGTTCACTGGTAAAAGCCTTCAGTTTCAAATTCTAAAGCAATTCTTAATTCACACATCAAATTTAACACAACTAAAATAAATATGAGGAACCCTAGTGGTGTAATGGTTTAGCACTCAACTGCTAACTGAAACATTGGTAGCTCAAACCCATCCAGTGGTTCTGTGAGAGA